CCCTCCTAACGGGCTGGACACGGAGGCTGCTGGAAGTGGCTTTGCCGGTGCCTGCGGGAGGGCAGGGAGAGCAGGGCAGGAGGAGCTGGGTCACCGCGAGCTGGGGGCACCTGCGCAGGCTCCAAGCCGGCTGCAGCAGCAGCGAGACCCTGTCCCCAAGAACGAGGTGCCCTCAAAACCCCCTCGCTCCACAGGACATCACCCCCTAAAGGCACTGCGTGGCTCAACTTCTGCTTGGAGGCTTCTTGGACGACACGAGTAGAACTTTTTGGTGCCTTTGGCTGGGCTCCCATGCCCACTCCTGCACTTTGGTGGAGGGGCACGCAGGGTGAAATGCAGATACAGAGTCCTAGGGGAGCTCCTGGTTTGCTGGTGGAAAGGAGGTAGGAGAAGGATAGTGCCCAAAGGGAGGGGACAACTGGGTGGGACAGGGGTAAGCGGAGGCGTGAGCAGTGGCATTCCTGGAAATCGTTCGACTTTGCCCGAGATAGGGATTTCGGAGCCCCAGGAGGGCCGGGGCGGCGCGGGTGGGAGCAGAGGAGGCGGCTGGCACGGTGAGCGCGGATGTAGGGGAGCCCCCAAGGAGCCCCCCGCGCTGCCCCGAGCCCCCGGCAGGCATCTCCCCTTGGCTCCCATCCTGGAATTTTCCATCGTTTGGGTTATATTTGGGACTGGCGGCCAATAACCCCGCTCCTCCCGGAGAGCCCAGCTGGGGCCTGGCTCCGGCGGGACACAAAGACACCCGGGCCCCGACGGAGAGAGGCGGCGCTGGCCAAGGCCCTCGCTGCTCAACCGCCCCTTCCCGGGGCACTTCTGGTGTCCTCCTAGGTCCCTCCCGCGCGGATTCCCCAGGATGGGCTGAAGAGTAAGGAACCAAGCCGACTTTGCAGCAGGATTCCTTGGTTTTCAACAGGAGGTTTAGGGACAGAGCTGTTCACTGGGGATCTGGAGCGGTAAGGGGACAGCGGAGCCCCGGGGCAGCAGGGTCCCGGTCGCGCTGTGTCCATCTGGAGATTCAGGGCAGCCTCTGGGCAACACGAAGGGATGTGACCAGGGGAATTTTGCCCTGAGTGTTGGGAAGGGAATCCCCTGAAGGTTGAAACTGGAAGCAAACATCCAGGCCGCTGAACCTTAGATCCGAAGGGGAAGTATGAGGGGGAATCCAGTGCAAGCTCCCAGGGCACGGAGGAGCAAGAGGGAGCCCTTCTCCGTCATCCCAGGCATCCGTGCTCCCTCTGGCTGACCTTCCAGCTGCTCTCTTTTCTCAAGTTTGTCTGGCACCAGAAACTCAGGTTTCTAGTTGCTGACCTTGCTTCAAACCTGCTGATTTGTTTCTGGTGGGAGAGGAAATTGCTCTCCTTATTGTTCTGTGCTTTTTTTTCACCCTTTTGTTTCACCAGTTTCCAAACAGAGCTCTCAGCATTGTCCTTAATTCAAACCAAAGCCTTTGTCTTGCAGTGTTCTTCTGTTGTTCTCAAAGAATAGATAATAGAATAAGACCTAAAAAAAAAAAAAAAAAAAAGAAGACCTAAAAAAAACCCCTCAAATTTGAAATTAAAAGCTTATTTTGAACTTAAGGTTGCATTTCCTCTCCCACTCCCCAATCTTTTTCCTTCTTTCTGGAGTTGCTAGGAACTCATCTAGGAAACGAGTTGCTCACAAGTCTCTGCCTGCTGGATCCCCGCTGGCGGCCCGGCCTCCCCCTCGCCGCCTTTCGCTCCGCTCGGCTCCGGCTCCAGTCCAACCCACCAGGTTTCACTTCTGCTGCTGCCAGCACGAACAAGGCCGTGGAGAAGCCGCCAGGTTGCAGCCCGGCACAAAGGCTTTTCCTTCTGCTGGGTGGGATTTTACGCCAGCTCGGGACAATCCCATGGCCACGGCAGCGGGCGCACGCTTGGAGCGTGTGGCTCCCGTGGGAAGCGGAGCCCGATTGAGCCCTTGGCCACAGGAACCAACCTCTTTCCGTCCTGCCGCTTCTTCCCCTTCCTCACAACCCCCGTGCTGGGCTTGGTGGCATCCGGCCGTCGGGAACGTCCGTTTTCCCGCCCTGCCGCCATGGGCTGCTGCTCCACGGAGGGAGCCAAGGCTCCCGCGGAGAAGCCGGGACATCCCGCGTGGGAATGCAGGGCAGCGCCGCGGCAGCTGCGGGATGAGCACGGTTCCGTTGGAGAAAGCTGCCGTCGGAGCCGCAGCTCTGCCCTCATCCACCCGAGCCGAGCGGCCCGCGCGCCGCTCCCGCCCGCAGCTCCCTGCGCACAAGGGCCTGATTTCCAGGAATGCGCACAGCCCGGCACTGCTGCGCTCTGCACCTCAGCAAAAGCTTGGAAGGGCTCCCATTTTCCTGTGCTTTCCATGGAGCTGTCCCAAATTCTCAGCCAGTGATGGGACAGCAGCAGCCCATCACGGGGCTGATTTGCTCGTGGCTGTTTCGCGGCGGGTGCATCCAGAGGGATGCAGGAGACACCTGGGCTGGAGCTCCCCACTGCCGCTGGGCTCTTCTGCAACACAGTCCGAGTCTGTTCCAAATGGGCTCCTCATTTCCACCCTTCAAATTGCAGCTACTGGCCAGGCCACAAAACCTGCCAGCAGTCACTGTTGGTCGGCTGTGAAGCATCTGCTCTTTAACTGCCCCTGAGCACCCTTCCCCTGGTTCTCTGCCCCAAAACGAGGGTCCCACACTGAGTCCAAGCCAGTGGGGAGCTGGGGCAATGAGGACCATTCGCTCCAAGCTGGTGAGTCCCAATTGAGTGCTCTGGTTGCACAGGTCACATCTCAGGTTTAAAAGTAAGGTTGTGGCCACCACGCGGTCCCTTGTGATGCTTTTCACTTCTCCTCCTCCACATCAGCCTCTTTGTGCAGTGAAAGCTCTGGAGCAAGGAGGAGAAAGGAGCTGGTTCCTTGACCTCAGTGCCTCTCAATGCTTCTTCTTTGTTCTTTTTTTTTTTTTTCATTTTTAAATTCCAAAATATGTTTTTGGTTTGGTAAGGACGCGAGAGCAATTGCTCTTGTTATCCTAGTGACTGTGCCTGCCCTGGGATCAAGGAGGCTGCAGTGCCCTGGTCATCCCGCACATCCAGCATTAGAGCAGCACTGCGTCTTGCTCCTCTATTTCTGGGCATCTTTAACAGATGCACAGCAGGAAAGCACCTGACAGATGTTGAGCAGGTTTGTTGCTTTTTTAAAAAAAGATATTTTAGTAAGAGAGTGGCACTGAAGCAGGAAATACATCCCCACCTGCCTGACAACTGAGAGCAGCTTGTGGCGTAACACGAGTGGATGCAGAGGGAGGCATTTGTGGGATGAGTGATGGGGCTAAACGAACGCTTTGGGAGATGAGATACAGCATTTATTTCCCAGGGAGCACAAAGAGCAGCTCAGTATTCACAGAGGACTCGCAGTGTGAGGCATGGAATATTTATTCCCCGTGTATTTGTTGGATTATCGCTGCCGATCACACACGTACGTGATGTGTTTTATGTGATATCTTCTGCCACACTGGCTTGTCATCACCCCAGTGAGAGGAGAAATAGCTCGTGGAGAAGAGTGAATGGTGCAAAGAGGTCAGCAGAAATATCTGTTGGCACTGCCCACCTTGCTGAAGTCCCTCGGGGAAACCTCCTGGCCTCCCTGGGAAGTTTTTGGCCTTCCTCTGTGGGAAGTTTTGGCCTCACTTAAGCAAGAGGCTGAAAGGGGCCCCCACAGTGGTTGCACCCAACCTTATCACCCGGGTTAGAGCCCTGCTCTGGGAGAGAGCGTGGGATTTGGGGCAAAGCGAGCAGGAAACCATCCAGTGCTCACAATATCACCCAGACCTCATGCCGTGGCTGATGCGAGGTGGGAGCCCAAGCGTTGCTCTGGTCTGCAGCAAGCAGGAGATAAACCAGCTCCTTTGAAAATGCATTAGACAAAACCCACGTGCACCACTGTTACTGTGGCTTAGTTGGGCACAAGAAATTGGCTGGAGGTTGTCCAGTTCCTAAGGGGAATGAAGCAGTTCCTATGCTACTGGATTAGGATGTCCATTGCAGCAGATATGTATATACAAATATATATATATGCATATATATATGCACACACATACATATATATAAGAAATCTATATACATTAGAATATTCCCTGGCTTTTCCTAGAAGTGTTATCGACAGGATGTGCCTTGAATAAGTGACAGCTGGGCAGGAAGTCCCCAGATAAGGTCTGTTCTTTCCAGTGTCATTGTGCCAAGCTCAGTCTGTGCTGCCGAGTCCCTGGGGTTCCGTTCACTCCTGTGACTGCAGTCCTGGAGACCTCCTTGCCAACAAGACAGGTGGGAGTTATGACACGAACCCCATGATCAGGATCCTCTCCTGCTCCCTCCTGGCCTCCTGGAGAGCTCATGCTTCTTTTTATAGGTGGGGATCAAAAATTTTGACTTGGAGCCAACTGCTTGGGACAGGTGGAGGAAAAGGCCGAATGTCTAGCTCATCTTTGCTGGGTAAAATAGAATGTGCCCATGGCTCTGGATTGGGTTTAAAAAGGAGATTTTATACAGCAAGTTTTTGGCTAGAAGATTTCTTTTTTTTATGATGAATGTGTATCCAGGCTTTATTTGATACCATTCCCTTCTGCTCGTGACTTTGTCTAAGTCACTTCCTCTTTCCCTGGGTCTTTTTCTTCTTTTTCACCCTTTTCCCACCTCCTTCCTTCAGGGACAGGCTGTCCAGGGAGTCCCTCTTCCCCAGGCCTCAGGAAGGTGTTTAGCACAAGGCTGCCTTGATCTCACATTGGTGACACCAGTGACGAGTGCAGGTAATGGGAGGACACAGTCCATCGGATGTGTGAACCTGTGGAGGATTCACCCCTGATCCTCGTGGTCCTTGCGTCTTGTCGCAGCAACAGGGTCTGCCAACATCCTGGCGCTAATTCATCCCTGTGAGAGTGAGACCCCAGTGTCATTGGCTCCGCATATGACCAAAATTTGCTTCTTTCTCCTTCCAGCAACCTCCACCCCTGAAGATCCCAGCCTCGGAGTTCACTTTTTGCTGAGTCTCTGCCACAACCCTGGCCAGCCTACCCCATGATGGCTTTGTGCCTCAAGCAAGTCTTCAATAAGGACAAAACATTTCGTCCCCGGAAGAAATTTGAACCCGGCACTCAGCGCTTCGAGCTGTACAAGAAAGCTCAGGCCTCTCTTAAGTCCGGGCTGGACCTGAAGGCCGTCGTGCAGCTGCCTCCCGGGGAGAGCATCAACGACTGGATTGCAGTGCACGTGGTGGACTTCTTCAACCGCATCAACCTCATCTACGGGACCATGTCGGAGTACTGCACAGAGAAGAGCTGCCCGATCATGTCGGGCGGGCTCAAGTACGAATACAGGTGGCAGGATGACAACAAATACAAGAAGCCCACCAAGCTGTCGGCCCCCCAGTACATGTGTATGCTGATGGACTGGATTGAGATGCTCATCAACAATGAAGACATCTTCCCCACCAGGATAGGTGAGTGTGCCCGGGTTCTCACAGGAAGGCTGTGCTTGTAACTGCTGCAAGTTCCCAAGCTGGTGGTGGTGCCCCGAGCTAGTTAATGGCTTCTCAGTAGGGTTGCTATTGCTGTCCCAAGGACTGTGGCCTTTCCCATTACAGGTTTTCTTCAGGCTCTGCCTTGCACACCTCCTTTGCTGCAATTTGAGCCCGAGGAATTTCTCATCCTGTTCACAGGGGAGATGGAAAACAGTGTTCTCTTTCTCTGTGCTTTGAGTTTTTCCAAATCTTTTCTGATTCTGAGAACTCAGGGCTGGTAGTCATCTACTCTCCTGCCCTTCTTCAAAGAGAGCTGAGCTGCAAGGCTGTTTGGATAGAGTTATCACTCCTCCCCACAGCACTCTTCTTCCTCATCACCTGCATTTCTTGCTGGTTTTCCAGGTAGGTTCATGTTCCCAACGTTTAACATTTTTTCATCCTGCTGCTTCACTTCTCAGCTCCTCTCCATCTCTGCTGATTCAGCCTAGTCCTGATTTTCCTTCACATTTTGCTATTTAGTTGGGACATCTCCACAGCAGATGTGCCCGACCAAAATACCTGACCTTTCCAGTTGCCAACCCAACGTCCAGATGCGATGTAACTATTGAAAAAGTTTTGCCTTAAGAAACTGTATCAACCACAAAGGCAAAAGCAGCCCACGAGCTAACTCTCTTACTGCTGTTTGCAGAGTTTGGCAGCTATTGATGCTGCTTATTATTAGTCCTGCTACTTACCTGCTTTTTTTTTGTCCTTTGACAAGGTGAGTTCAAGGATAGGAGCTGAGTGCGTTGGCTGGTGGGGACAGAGGAGTTTCCGTTTCCTGAGGGGCTGATCTCGTGTTTTTTCTGGCATCTTCATGAAGCAAAAGGGTTCTATAAATAAACTTTCCCCCTTCTACAGCATCCGTCCTTTTGCTAGGTCATTTGCATTGAAACTGGCTGCCAAGGCTTTGGGTCGTGCACAGAAGTGGTTTCTTTTCAGACGAAATGCAAAGCCACTTGAATGTAAAAGAAGCTTTAAGGAGCTTACGGTGGAAATGCACGGGCTTTGCAAGTCTGCCTCCCCATTGCTGTATTCCCAGGCAGCAGAGCTGACAGATCTATATGAAATCAGTGCGGTTTAGGCTTGGGATTTTCATTACCATGACAGCCCTGGAGGATTGGCCAACACTGCTTGTATTTCCCCAAATCCCTCAGAGCCAATGTGATGGGCACCGTGTGTTTAGTTGGCCCCAGGATTCACTTGGAGACAGTGGCCACTCAATGGTGAGATCCTGGCGCTCCAGGCATCCCATGCTCCGGTCCGGGTGGTCTCAGCACACTCTGGGAGATGGATGAGGCGGGAAGGGCTCCTTGGTGGCTGGCTGGGAGCACCAGGAGGGATGCTCAGCTCTGGGAGCCTCCGCTCTGCCGGGAGGCAACAAAGTCCCTGTTGATTCTGGCTGCAGCTGGAGGGGATCTCCGGGCTCTGCGCTCCCAGCTGGAGGGGTCACTGCTGCCAAGGGACGCAAGTTGCAGGGTTAGAGAATGGATCTTCCTGTTCCGGAGGCTGCTTGTTCCCAAGGAGAAGCTCCCTGTGCTGACAGAGGGCTGCAGACAGTTTTTTTGTGCTTTGCTTTCAAGCCAGAGAGGAGGGTGCTTTGATCCAGTGCAATGCCTTTGCGGTGGGATTTCGGATGTGATCCCGCCTGGAAGCCGCTCTCCGGAGTCAGGAGTAGAATCTCAGGATTGTCCAAGGGGGAACGCAGAGGGGCTTCCCGAGGGGGCTGCTGCACGTGCAAACCTGCAGCAGGAGGTGGCTCAGGAGACACCTCTCCTGTGGAACGAGAGCAGAGCTCATGCTGGTCCTCACGTTGGCTTCCCAAAGCAGAGGGATCTCCCAGCTCCATCACAGGGCAACGCAGTCTCCATCTCCTGGGATGCTGGAAGTGACACGCTGTGCCATGGTGGGAGGGAGCAACCGGTGCCTGCTGGTGTCCTTGGCTGATCCATGCCCGTTCCACCACGTTGCCTCCACGCTGCCAGCTTTGAGATATTCCTGACAGTCATGTCCTGGTGGTTCTCCCCTCATCCATGGAACTTCTCCTTTCGGGGTGTAAAGCCTTCCAATGTGGCAGGTTTTGTGCCGGAGGTGGAGGCAGTTCTGGATGAATCGGGGCTGGCGCAGGCTGCCTGCAGACAAACCTGGTCTTGCTCTAGCAAACCTGTCCCCGGCCCAGATTTCAAGCCTCTCTGCACGGGGACTGTGTCATGCCACCGAGTGGCTTCAGTGCTGCTGCTGGCGTGTCTCCCTGCTGCTGGTGTCACGTGGATATGCGACATACACACACGTGTGAAAGGGAGCTCTGCCTGAGCTCGTGTCGAAGAGCGTGGAAGTCTGTTGTGGAAGGAGAGAGACGGTCACATTTGGTCGTCAGCAAGTCCTCGTTTAATTGTCACATTTTGTCGCCAGTATGCCCCCAATTAACTGAGTTTCACTGGCTTGCCATGTACTTGGGTTATTTGCTCAGCAGCTCTGGCATTTCTGAAGATGGAGGTGTTTGGCTGAAGGAAAATGTCACATCTCCCTGCTCCTGACGGGGGCTGCTCCCTCTTTTTTTGTGCCAAAACATGAGATGAGGCTAAGGAAGCTCTAAGGGAAAGATGTGGGGGCCGGGAAAGGAGCCAGACCAAAGGGAGATGCTCAACCTCTTCCTCAAAGCACCAGGCTCTTGGGAGAGGCCCCAGGAGACCAGGATACAGCACACTGAGGAGGCACGGGGTGGATGAGAGCTGTTTAAAGGATTTTTTAAAGTATTTTTTCCCTAATGACACATTTTCCTATTTCTACCACCCTCTCTTTGACCACGTGAGAGCAGGAGACCAGCAAGGGAAAGCAAAAGGTTGCAAGCTGCAGGGCGATGAAAGGAAAACCCTCTTGCTGTGCAAGGCGGGGATGGAAAACAGAGCCTTCCTCCCGCATCCATGGCTGGAGACAGCGGCGGCAGACGGCTCTGGAGCCAGAGGCCCCGCCAGGGCTAATGGCATCTCCAGCACTGCTACAGAGCACATGCTTTTCTTCTTTTCCTCTCTCCTCTCCTCTCCTCTCCTCTCCTCTCCTCTCCTCTCCTCTCCTCTCCTCTCCTCTCCTCTCCTTCCTCCTTCCTCCTTCCTTCTTCCTTCTTCCTTCTTCTCTTTCTCTTTTCTCTATTTCAAGAAATGACAAATTTCAAATAAGCCTCCTAACTACTAGCAGTAAAGACAGGATTTAGCGTAGAGCAAGCTTGTCCCACCTCTGCTTACAGGGGAGAAATTCCCTGCCCGCTGTCCCAAGGGGAGGTTTGTGGCTGCTGCTCCACAGAGGATCTCTCCCGCCTGGCTCTTCGCTCCCTCTCCCTGCTCCGAGAGCTGCTGAGGAGTCCCGCGGACTCCGGCTTTGCCCCAGGAAGGACATCGCTCCCCGCAGAGGCCGAGAGAGAGCCCTCCAGCCCCTTTCCCAGAGGAAAACCTCTCTGCAGGCTTAATGGCATGGGAGGCACCGGAGCTGTACAAGGGACGTGGCGCACAGCAAGGGTGAGGGCACAGATACATGTCACCCCCGTTCCCAGGGAAATCCACCCACAGGGCTCTGTCCCACTTAAGGGCTTTGCTGTATAATCCTTCTTCTGTAGCAGAAACCTCCGTTTGCCAGCTGAAACGAAATAGCTCCCGCATGGAGCGAGCCAGGCCAACCCAACTGCTGCAAATCCTCTACAGTAACAGCTTTCCCAGGTGACCCATATCGGTCTGCAAGTGCTTGTGCTCTTTTTTTCCTCCTCTTCCAAATGATATACCTATGCTGAAAAAAGAAAAAAAAACCATTTAAATGGGGAAAAGTCGTTGTTCCCAGGCAGGGATAAGAATAAATGATCCACGGGGAGATTTTTACCAGCTGGTAAAACTGTTTCTGTACATTCCTTCAGTGAGTGGGCATATGAGCAAACCAGCGCCTGGAAAGTATCAGCTGCTCCCTGGCAACTCCATGGCCGGCGGTGCCTGCTGGGATGAGCCAGGGAAGAGTTTCCCTGGGAAGGAGCCCGTGCAGGAAGGAGGGCTGGGGACGGGTGCCCCGCAGCTGCAGGAGGTGACCACCTCATTGCTCTGCTTGCACCGGCGGGGACACAGCGTGTGGAGCAGATCCAGCACAGGAAACACTCGTGTGCTCTGCCAGGGCTCCGAGGGTTGTTCAGGCTCAGGGGGTTCTGGAGCAGCTCTTGGCGAGCTTTACAAAGCTCAAGTGTTGCCATTCAAGCCTAGTCCCTAGACAAATATATATTAAAAGAGAAAACTTGTTGCAAAATTATTCAGTGCTTTCTCTCCACAACAACAGAAAAATGTTCAGCATTCAGCCAATTATTGGAGTTTTCTCAGCTGGCTATTTTTTACACAATTTGTCTTTTTTAAAAAATATTATTTTCCTCTGTCAAAATTAACACCACACCAGTTTGCAGCTGCTGCCATGCCATTCATCCTAAATGGGGCTTTAAAGACTTATTTTTAGGAAAAGATGATTCACTGAACAATACACTGGCCCAAATGGAATTTACAAATAATAACAACAATAATAAATCACTGCGCAGTTCATTGAATTACTGCTTTTGTAGACGAAAAGAAAATGCCATTGCCAAGAAGCAAAATAGTTTCACAGTACTGATTTATCATGAAAAAAAAATAAATTGGCTGATGCATGAGGTCTAGGGATCACGGAGATGGCAGGAACGATCCAAGACCATTCCATTCCCTTACCATAAGCACATGCACTTTGTTACCTCTCATCTTCATTTCCTTTTACACATAGTCCCACACGGTTTCCTTATGTTTTGAAGCAATCAGCGTGGAGTGTGGAAAAGAGACTTCTCTGAGCATTAAGTGACATCTTGGGGTTTCAAGCAAAATATCCAAGATGAAGTGAAGGTGCTAATGGATTTTGCAGCTGCAAGTGACACCAGCGCCCGGCGGTGCTGCAGGCAGCGAGATTGCGCCCACCCCGTTTACAGCGCTCGCCCTGGCCTCGCATCCAGCCGATAATCCCCCTTCATCAGCATCGTGGGTTGCTAGCATGGCTTTGAGGTGACTGTATTGAAAATTGGCTTCTATTTTTAAAGTTAAGCACCTGCAAGGCAAGGGCTGCTGCTTGGACAGTGCTGAGATCCTTTCCATGGGTCTCCTGTGTTTGCTCGGGATGGGCTACCTGTGATTTAACAGCCAGACCTGCATGGGGAGGCGCATTGAGGGTGAAGAAGGGTGACCTGCTCTCCCCTTGTGCTCCACTGTGTTGGGTGCGGGCTGCAGAGGATGCCCCGTGAGTTACCTGCTGGACATCCCCTGTGCTAGCAGCCGTGGTCCAGGCCCAATGGCATTCTTGTCACATATTCATGCTGCTCACGGGGTTAGCCAAAGCACCTTTCTGCTGATAGCTCTTTATTGGAGAGCCCTTTAATTCCCATATTTTGTGAGGGCATGGGGAATTTCTCCAGGTCCTCGCCAGTGTGTGCTGCCTTGCTGGAGAGCTGCCGGCCGGGCAGCCTGGCAGGGGACGCTCGGAGCTGGAGGCAGTGCAGGGCCCGAGAGCCGTTGGCTTATCAGATATCCGCCCCGCTTCCTTCCCACCGGGAAGCACTTTAATCAACTCACACAGCTCCTTGGCTGAGCAGATCCCAGCTCTCAAGTGTGAAATGTCTCCCTGCTCTTTAAATAGACAAGAGGCTCTGGCTGGAGGTCCACGCATGCACAGGGTAAGAGAGAGCCCTTCTCCTGAAACCCATCCAACAAAGAGAGCACTCGGCTCCAAGCTTGAGTCACTGCTTTTCAGGGAAGGGACACAGGAAGGTGTTAGCTCCCCTATGCCATGTTGCATGTGTTTCAGCTGTATCAGAAGGCCAGATCGTCCATGCAGGGTGGCCAGCTCGTGTCTAGAGCCTTTGTGTGTCTCTTTTGACATGTGTCTGGGGGCTATGGGCCTCCATTGGTGGTGCAGATCCAGCTATGCCCTGACTTCTGCTCTGTGATCTCCTGTGCCAGCTGCAAGGTCCAGCCCACCGGCTGCAGCCTGTGTCCAGGGTCCTGGGATGTGAGTGGCACCAGGGCCCTGAGGTGTGAGGAGGCCACCACCTGGCAGCAGCATGGGGAGTGGAAGGAGGACCTCATGGCTCTGTGCTGCTGAGGGTGGCTCTGCGGAGAGAAAGGGACAGATGTGGACACCACTGCTCCCTTGGCCAAAGGACCATAGTGGGTGGTGGTGGTGTGACATGGGGTTGACCTGTCCATTGGTGACACTATAGCCTGGCTATGTCTCGAAGGGACAGCCACACACTGACACCTTGTGATGGACATGAGGAAGAGCAGCTCAGCTTCATGTCCCAGGAGCGGATGTTATTGCTGGATTCATGTGCAAGTACATTGGTGGGGCACTCTAATAAGACACTTTCGGTCCTGGCACTCTCTATGAGATCTTTGCAGGTGTGACTAGGTACATAGCAGCTCAACATCTTCCCAGACACAGCCACACGGTTGCTGTTGGCCACAAGACTTGTGCTAAGGGCCTCAATGCTTTTGGAAAACATATATTGTAGCTTGATGTGCCTGCCCCTCACAGTCCCTTAGTGCTGGCATGTCCAAGAAGACTTGGACTTAGAGGCCAAGAGGGTTCCTGGCTAACCACAGGACCAAAGTAGTGGAAAGCCGCTCTTCACTGCCTGTCAGTTCTGCATGTGGCTCATCTAACAGCACGACCTGCACCACAGATGCTATCAGCCCTGGTGTTGCAGATCCTTCTGGTCTGCTGTTTACTCTTAAATTCTATTTCTCTCTCATCTCAGAACAGGGTGGAGGTTTGTTGTTTTCCTTCACCATCAGCTTTTGCAATTTGGAGATAAACTTTTATTGGCTGGTCAGGTCTGATTTCTTCCTCATTGCTTGTTTTGACCGAGCAAGCCAGTCCCTAGGCAAGCGGCACGCGGGACAAGGTGGGGCCGGCTGCTGTCTGCCCCCCAGCACCCGCTGTGCTGCAGGCAGCTGCTGTCCCCGAGCCCCAGGGCGACACTCTGCCCAGAACAACGTGTATCCCCCAGCACTGCGCTGCCAGTGCCTGCTCCTGAGCCATCACTCATGGATTGTCATGGATTGTCCTGGATTGTCCTTATTAAAATCAGTATTTCTTGGCTGGTTCTTAAAAGCTGGTCTGTAAAAGTCACCCCAAAAGTATTTCTCTCCCCCCTGGTTTGGTGCTTAGGGCTTTTATTTGCTCAGCAAATTCTCACCCAGTGCAAAAAGTTCAAATGAAGCCTGCGATAAAGCAGTTGGTCCTTCCTGAGTGCAGGCCCTGTGCCCTGATCCCTGTCTGTATCTAGCTACCATCATACAGGCGCAACAAGATTATAACCCAAGTATTATTAAGCCAGTCAGTTTTTCTCCCATTTTATTTTAATGAGATATTAATTTGAAACAGGGACCTTGAGAGAAAAGTAAAAACCCTACCCATTTCTTTTGGTGTATTAGAACTGATGTTTCAGTGCTAGGGTGTCAGGAGAAAGAACAGCACAAACCAAGCTTTTGATTCACAGTATCCCAGGATATTGTGATACCAGGATTTATGCCCTGCTGGAAGGAGTGGAAGAAGACTTGCTTTTCTTTTTCAAGGTAATACGTTGAAAATAGGTAAATACATGTGACTGTGTGAAGCGGACTGGTCTGACTGGGAATTGCTATGGCCATGCAAGGCTATGACCCATGGCACAGAGATGAGTTATGACTCACTGTAGGTTCAGCTGGAAGGAAAGATTCCTTATGATAAACTGCCTCTGTCCTTCTCCAATATCTTGAATTTTGCTGTGTCTGCATAGGCGTGCAGAGGAAAGGTGTGGAGAAAGAACACAAGGATCCTCTGCCAGGTGACTTGGGGCTGCACAGGTGTGTATGGATCTGGCTCCCTCACTGCATGGGATCTGTTCCCTCCCAGGGAAACTCCACAGATCCTCAAATCATGCCTGGATAAAATTGACTGCTAAGTAATAAGGAAGTATCTGGCAGAGCTGGATGGTACACTTCTGTGGTGTTCCTGTCACTCTTGACATTAGCCAAGGGAATCCATCACCTCTACTTGCTTGTTAACCATAATAGGGACATTTAAACTCTAGGTGCTTTTATTTTGTAAATGCTCAAACAGCTTCCAAATTGCTTCTGCTTTGCAGGTGTTCCCTTCCCCAAGCAGTTCCAGCAAGTTTGCACTAAGATCCTCACCCGCCTCTTCCGTGTCTTTGTCCATGTCTACATCCACCACTTTGACAGCATCATCAACATGGGTGCTGAGGCTCACGTCAACACCTGCTACAAGCACTTTTACTACTTCATCAGGGAATTCAGCCTTGTTGACCATCGGGAGCTGGAGCCTTTGGTAAGGATCTCCCTGGGATGGGGAGGTGGAGAGGTTGAGACCTGCATGGGTTGAGTACAACACGGGTGAATTTACTTGGGCTTGGACTTTGGCCACTGCAGCCATTTGCTGTGGATTCTTTCACCATCCCGACCTTAAAAGCTCAACCATGTTTTCTTTCATGTGACTATCTGCCTTAATCCTCTGAGGGAGAACTTCACAACCCATGAATCTTCCAAAACCCTCCTTAAACTCTGCCTCTGTCACAGTTGCCATGAGTCACTCCTTGGCATTCTGACTGACGACCACCGTAACATAGTGGTCCCTGTCTATACTGTCTTGGTGACTCTTAAGAAATTTGCAGACCAAAATGTCTTTAGCCAGCTGTGTCCGTGTGGCCTTCAAGTATAAGATTTCAACCCAAAAATCTCCTCTCCACAGACCTGATTTTTCCCGTGAGAGGACTAATGTTCCAGCTTGAGATCCTAATGTTCAGTTTAATGAGACTGGAGAAAGGCAAGCGCTGACAAGGCACACAGCTTCACACAGCAGCTATAGAGGCTGAACTGGAGAGGCCTCCCTGGAGCTCCAAGTTCCTCCATCCTCCCTTGGGAAGCAATTAGCAAAATAGACAGCAAGAGTCTTTAGCAACGGCAGAACAGGGGGAGAGCGGAGACCAGACAGCCCAGGCAAATAAACCAGAAAACACACGTAGCTGGTTTTGTAAGGGAAGCGAGTGTGTGACAGGCAAGGCTGAGTGTGGTCTGACCTACGGAGGTCATGGAGCAACAGGGAAAACAATTAATTGGGAACCCAGTCATTAATATGATGTGATAGGAGGATGGATTGCAGAAAAGAGCATGTGCAATAGCACAGAGCCAGGGAAGACAAGCAGCATCTAAGCCTACAGAGAAAAAATAGGGACTTTGGTGCTAAGCACTTTAATTCCTTTTCTGCTTTCATTTGTCTCAGTCAATTTTCTGCCTATCTGCTCTAATCCTGATTTAGGAAGGGGGATGAAAATTTAACCAGGGGGACCTGAAGACAACAGCATCTGTATTAGTTGCCTCCTGTAGTTTGATTATGACCTACATTATCCCGATGGCCTCAGCCCTAGAAAATGGCAGCTCAGTTGCACAGGGTCCTCTTTTCCTCTTCTTCACCACCACTCTTCAGGACAAACTTCTTTAACGTTGATTTACAGCCCATAATGGTGTCATCTCCTTTGACTGATGCTTGCTAATGTAAATAATTAACAGCTAATAGCCAAAGCAGAGGCTGCCATTGCTAAATAGGTCTCAATGCCAGTGACTCACATGCACTGGGGTGTGATTTATGGCTCTGAAGGAGTCTCAGATGAACAGGTTTTCCAGTGTGATGCAACCCGGGCTAAACTACAAGGAAGAGAGCAGCATTTATATTGTTGATGTGCCCATTACCTGGCATCTGAACCCCACAGCAGGCTCAAGCATCTGGAAGACCTTCTTCCCCCAGGCAATGACTTGCTGTACGTGTGGTGAGTGGCCTTGTGCAGCCAGAGAATGGCTGGGTCCTGGATGCACTGCTGGGTTTTGGAGGGAGGGACAAACTGCTGGAGCTTGCGAGAAACTTCCAAAGATTGTCCCTGCTGATGCACAAGTGATAGCAGGGCTGTGTTACTCTAGGTCTCTCTGCATAATCCTTGTTGAAAGCAAGGCAGGGCTTGAGGTTAACCCTGCTTGTATTCTGGAGAATGAGTGGGGAGCTGGAGGGTGGCATTTGTGTTGTTTTGGTTGTGCTTCAGCAGGAGTTGTGAGCTCGAGCAACAGGATCAAACCTCTGCAGCACTTTCCAGTTGATCTCAGCTCACTTTCCCTTGGGAAATTACTCTCTCCAGTCCAGGAGATTTGCTTCGATCATTCCTCTCCTCACTGGGCTGCACCATAGTTATGTCTATGAATCTTAGTGTTTTAAAGTCCTGGTGGATCTTCAGCTGACACATAAGCAAGGACAGGCAGTGGGCTGCATCTTCCTTCCTTTTAGGGTGGCTAAGACGGCAGTTCTTGCTAGACCTCAAGGTTTATGGAAAGATGATCCATCTTTTGGGTGAGATAAAATGAACTGGCCTTGAGAGTGTCAATCTCTCATAAGACCCTGTGTTTGGGCAGAAATAAGAGCAAGCATTGATTCACTCTCTTAGCAAAGATCAAATCAAGGATGAGGGCACCGAGGGAAGCTGCTCACTCATTTCCCCGAGGATGGGGAAGGCAGGTCCGAGCACTGGCACTGCTGCTGGCAGAGGCCCAGCTGGTTACACACGGAGGCATGAGGAACGTCGTGGGCATTCAGGGCTGGCCTGACGAGCTTGCAGGTGGCCTGGGAACCCACTGACCACCCAACCCACCCCACTCCAGGCTGCTTTTGTGCATCCTTGCTGCAGTGGTGGGGTGAGCTGAATGCTGTCGCGAGGGGACATCCACGTTCTTCTCGTCCCCTCTCCTTTTTCCTCCTGAGATGTTTGCAGGCACTTCCCATTTGCAGAATGGCTTTGTGGCAGTGCATTGCTTTTTCATTTGATGGCAGCATTCTGCACTTGAGTGATTTTATTTGTCATCTACAGAAGCCCTGTCTTTGCCACTCTCACCTTGACAGAATTCAAAAACAAAGCTCTCAGCACTGAAGAGCAGAGATTGCACTTCCTAGCCCTCTTCATTATAGGGCTAAAAAGCCTTCCATGTGTTTACTCAAGGGTCATCCCTCTTATCTAGTCCTGCATTTCTTTGGAGTTGCATCCCTCCTTTTCCAAAGAGCAGGAGCCCAACAGACATCACATCTATTCTGGGAATACATGTTAAGATGTTCAGACGTTCCTTGGGGTTGTCTGCGTGCGTGTGCACATTAGCAAGCTGTGAACCTGATGAGCCAGAGAGAATCAAAGGCTTTCCTCACTACAGCAATGAATCCACTTTGGAAGCTGTTTATTACTGGAACTCCTCAAGCTGAGAACAAATACTATCTGGCACTCCCTTGGAGCTGGGCACCTTTCTAATGCAGCTGGCATTGTAACACTCAGTCCTGGCTAAAGAAAACAGTCTATTAGCCTAAACAGAACTTGATGTTGTCCTTTTTTCTCCCTGTGTCCGGGACCTACCTCAGGGCTAGGGTTTGTAAATGAAGCTGATGGAGATGCTGATTAGGGGGGAGGGCCTTGTTTGTCGTATCGTAGGGGTACCAGTGGGCAGTCATAGTTGCCTTGAGAGAGCCATCAAGTAACAGCACCATAGGCTGCAGATATCACTTAGCAGGAGGTTTCCCATGAACTTCCATTATTAGCATTCATTTCCATTGCAGCATGGCCATGGGATCCCCTGCCAAATCCACAGGTCCTTTGGTTGGGCTGTTGTGGCCTCACAGAGCAACCTCTGCTGCTCCCAGGAGGAGCTCTGAGCCTCCCATCTCCTTGGGCAGCTGCAGACAGAGGCCTTGAGAGCTGAACCATCTTGTCTGGCTGCTCCATGGCGGAGACAGGAGCAGGACCTGGATCTTTCAATTTCCCTTTTCTCGGACTTGCTTTCAAAGCTAGGAAACAGCCAAAATAACCTTGTGCTATAGAGATCAAGGAGGATCCTTGGAAAAGCAGCCAGGACAAGCAGAGGGGTTCTGGAAGGGCTAGCATGGGAAAGGATGTAACTATCCTTGAGTTTCCATGATCAATTCCTTAGTGATTCTGGATTTCTACTAAACTGTCTTGTATGCTACTTTGCTCAAATCCAGCTTTTGTTTCATTCTTTTAACCGTTTCATTCTTTTCTCTTGCCCTTCAATGCAGAAAGAAATGACAGAACGAATTTGCCACTGAAGTGATTTTGGCAGAAAAACACAGCGGACTCATTGGCAGTCCAGTGGGACAAGACACCCTCGCTGTGGTGGGACAGTCATTCTGAAAGACTCGCTCTGGTCATTTCCATCCACCGGACTATGAAACCTGCAGAAGAGCCTCTTCAGGCCAGGGCTGAATCCTGAGCTTGTTCAACATCTCTGGACATTTTTTTTTAATAGACCCCAATGTCTGTCATTCAGCTATTATCTTAGAAAGCCACTGACTGCTGGAGAACAAGGCACGTTTGACTGACTTTTACACTCCCTGGTCTCTAAGACCTTAGCCCTAGGTCTGGTGGTATCCATTCAACTACCCTTCCTCTTTTTGTCCTCAGCTATAATGATCCCTGAGTAAGAGACCTGCTCACAGGGTACTCTGATTCTCGTAGCCAAGCTCATCTGTGAGCAAATATGAACTTGGCTGCTAAGTAATGATTTTTACTATTCCCACATAGACTGGGTTTGTCCCATCTGAGGTTAGCTCTGCAAAGCTGGTGGCACTTGATCCCAATTACCATCATGAGCTGGTGAGTCAATGCACCATTTTTAATCACAAGCTACAACTGTCTCCTCTGTCCTGACCAATTCCTGCTTTATCAAAGGGACCATGACTTCCCCACCCCTCCAAATGTTCACACTTTGCAAAGGGGACTTTATGATATTCCAAAATGCACCTAACATTTCTTGGACTAAAGACTAGATGCCCCATGACAGATGGAGGCTGTTTTCCAGTGTCATCAGCCCTGTCTGTTTTCCAGACTCAGAAATCAGGATAATAAGTGAAGGAAAGAAACTGTTGCCAAAAAACCAAATAGTATTTCCTGCTATGTTGTTTTTGGCTCAAACCCAGCAGATCTTGTCTGTAGAAACTGTTATCTTCTCATTATCCAACTATGCATCATAATTAATTAGGCTGGGAGGGACATCAAGGGACACCTGATCTGCCTTGTCCTTCCAAAAAGGCAAGATCTGCTCTACTTAAACCTTGTTCCCTGGGATTTCTTTAGCCTAAGAAAGAAACCACACTGACTATACCTGGTCTATGTCATTGTTCCCTTGAAAGGCATCAGTATTACATGCCAAAATTTTTCCCCTTTATGTTTGTAATGCCTAGTAGCTATTGCTGTGTTTCTTGTGACAACCTCCTTCGATAAGAGGTGAGGTCTTTTTTATTATTATTTGGAGCGTTAAAATCAAATTGTCTGAGCCACAATATTGTTACATTTGTGCTTCCTGGACTTTTTATAGGAGGATTTTCTGTATTACACACATCCGATATTTATAAACAGGGATTTGTCCACTTTTCAGGAAGGGAGGGGATACAGCTAGAAAATGTAAACATTATGCCGGCAGTAAAGTGCACAAATGGATTTTTAGTGCCCAAAGCACTTATTTTGATGTGAAAATCTATTTTTTTTTAAATCTCATGTACCAGATTTATATTTTTACATGGAAATAAAAGGGAACAAAATGGAGACAAAACCAGCCAATACACCATTCCAATGATTTCTGTGTAAAATAATGTGTGAAAGTCCAAATGTTTTGGTCTGTTACTAATTAAAGAAACATGAATGAGCCTGGTGTCCTTCATTCTTCCCTGATCCATCTGTAGCAATCGAGACATCACAAAAATGCGTTTGTGACAACTTGAACAGGGGACCTTCCCCAGGAGCTGCAGCACTCACGTGCCGCATGGAGAGGTCAGCAATTCCCAGCTTTGCAAGAAGTGATTATGATAAAGAAGACTATAAACAGCTTCTGAAAACTGGCTTTGAGCCCAGTCTCCACCAGCAGAGCCCTGGGATGTGATGCAAACACTACCCAGGGCCGACTGAAACAGGACTCATGGAAGTCCTTATCAAGGACACAAGGGCTTACTTTCCTGAACATGCAGCTACAGACAGTCGTGTCCATTGCTTTCCACTGACTGTACAGAGGATTTCAGCTCTTGGTGTTTCTCCTCAGCTTGCATCTCTGAAAGAAGCTTGACAAAGGCTAACGTAGCTGGTCAGTGTTCCCTCTTCCCAACTTTTCACTGCCATCCTATATGATGGTATATTCACAGTGATGCTCACTACTTTTTCTGAATGTGTTTTTTTTCTGGGATCTGCGTTGGAGCATCCTCATATAAAGAAGAACCCAGGCACAAACTGCTGCACAGTGCATAGGCAGGAGGTCTCTACAGCTCCACAAGGAACCTGCTGCATTCTTGAGGAATGAGGCCTGGTTGGTCAGACTCCAAAGCTAGCAACCCTCCCCGCTTCTCATAATCAGCAAGTTTTGGACTTGTGGAGAAACTGTTTCAACAGCAGGGCCTAAGGGGACATCTGGTAGCAGCTGTGCAGATACTTAAGGGTGAGGTACAAAGACAACAGCCAACCTCTTCTCAGTAGTGGCAGATGGCAAGACAGGACAACAGCCACGGTTGTGGATGTGGATGTTCATCTGGAGCCAGGAAAAGAATATTCACCAAGAGGGAGCTGCACCTGGTACCCAGGGAGGAACAGTATGGACAAGCGGCCACAAAGGTCCCTGCCAACATTCCAATGATTCTTTTATTTCCTAAAGTAGACATTGCATCAGAACTTCTGATGTTTAACAAGACTCGTTGTGAATAATGCTCATAAACAGACACCTGGTTACACTTTTGCCCTCCACATTGTCCTCTGGCAATGAGTTCCAGCAGGCAGTTTTGCATCATCTATTAAAAAAGAGAAGTTTATTTTGTTTATTTTTAAATATATGCCTAAGGATCTCAACCCTCCCACTTTTGGGAGAAGCAGTAAATAAGTGTTTCCTGTTTACTTTCCCTGAACCACGGAGCTCCCACAGATTCCTGTGGAGCTGAAAGCACTGATTGTTCCTGAAAGACCACGCCATAAGCTTGTCTCAGACAGCAATTTTTAAAGCATTTAAAAGTGTGTAACTTTTTTCTTTTCTTTTCAACTTGGTTTCCCCAAAGAAACAAAGCTCACTGAATGTGCTATGACAGCTGCATCCTCATTAATTCTGGAAGTGGTAGATGGAATGAATGTCTGAACCGCGTTCTGCAGACGAGCTCTACCAGCTTATTATGGATCAGAGAGCCCATGTGGGAGATCATCAAAGCCAAGCAGGTTCACGGGCTCCCCACTGGCTGGATTCCTTGTTTGCCATTAAATGCTGCGCAGCAAATTCTGTTACATGAATGAAAAGATCTGTAGCATGTAAATCACCTCCATTGTTCAAGATTTGTGTCTGAATAAGGAGAAAAAACATGTTTGCAAGCACTGTCCAAGCAGAAGTTGGCTGCAGGCAAGGACTAATTTTACCCTCCTTCCCCCAGAATCCTGGCAATGTAATGCTTAGCTAATACAGAAGACGCATCTCGGATCTCTGTGTTCACAGTTCCTCTTGGCATTAGCTGCTCTGCCCAGGGACTTGCTTCCCTCCAGGTCTTCACCACATTCAACCATTCACTTGAGGTCTTTGGTCCCCACTGAGCGTCCCCACCTTGCTGGTGAGGAGCAAGGGAGCTGTGCATATCTGAGCCTCCTGGTTGAATTATAACCACTTTTATAGGGCTAGTAACGAAGCATCAGTGGCTCCCTGTAGGACCATCCATTGCCAGAAAGGTCTTTCTGTCTCTCTCGAAGACATTGAGCTATTCCCCTGTTGCTCATCTATCTCGGTGCCTCCCAGCCTGGGCTGTTTTATGCCTGAGTACAGCGCAATGGCTTATTAAACAGAAAGCACAAAGTGTATCTAAGTGAAACAACTTATTTCAGGAGGCAGAATCACACCCATGAGGACGCAGCATCCCTGCACATTTTGAGAGCAGGCAGTCCCCTGAAATAGGTTAGATGTTTGTGCAGCTCTTGTTAACCCCAGCTCCTTGAATGGCTCATTGGCTTGGCTGCCTGCAGAGTCCCAGGACTCAGTTTTCTCTTTGCAAAGTCACTGGATTCTCCTGGTGGACATGAGACATTCTGGGCAGAGGCCAAGGCTGATCTACCCCACAATGGGCCCACAGAAAGCGAAGTGGCTGCTACACCAATGATGTGGGGCAAAGGAAGCGGTCATACAGGTGCTGTTGGCCTGTGTGGTGTCCCCCTGTCCTTGCTAGGGCAAAAAGCTGGAAGGTGGATTGTCCTATAACTCCTGGTCACAACAATCATGACGTGATCTGGAGAGAGATACCCCTCCCTTGGTGAGAGTTTTTAAGAAAATACGTGGGAAGGAAGAAAAGAAGCTAAGGCAGAGCTGTGGTTGCCAAGGGATAAATGCTGTCTGTGACGAGAGGTGAACATGAAGTCACTGGGTGTTAGGAAGGGATGAAATGGGTTAATTACCCGAGATACGAAGGAGTTTCCTTTCCTGGAGTGCCTTTTTGGGGGGTGGGGGAACATGCTGATTCTAAGAGTAATGCTCACAGCAGAGGCAGGAGTGTCTCCTGAGCCTGGCTTTTCCATGCAGGAGGCTGATGACTTTGCTAGCACAGCCTGATGGTTTAGATTTCCTCATGCAGGTCAGAGAGGGACGAATGACTCATGAGTGTCAAAAACCTCGAAGCAAGAGTGAGGCATCCAGCTCCCTGCTGAAAAGAGACCCTGAGTCAGAGCTGAAATGCCAGCAGCGTGTGGGGGACTACTGAATGTCTGCAAAGACATAACATTTATCAATAGCAAAGGAAGCGTCTTACTTAAGAGAGTGTCCCCCTGTAGCATTGGCCGGGGAAATAAAATCAGAGCATGGTCTGCCTGTGAATTTCTTGCAGCTTAACATCTCAGTGGAGGACAATCCACGAGGCTCCAATGAGGCACCATACCCTGATGCCTTGAGGTACAGGGTGATGGGCAGCTGCGAACTGCTTTGGGCCACATTGTAATGATGGAGTGGGGTGAGTATTTTGCCAGATGTTCCCAAGGCTGTCAGGGGAGCATATGGAAGCCCATCTGCCTCGGGACAACCCCCTAGAGTCAGCCTGGGCTGGAGGCCAGAAGCAGCAGTGGCTCTTGGCTCTTACTCATGCAGTTTCCTAATAGTGCCGGGATTCTTCAAGCTTAATGTGCCCTGGAAGGAAGAGCAGAGACCTACACAGTGTTTGAGCCCCAGACTAACCTATCAGGGCATTGGTTTAGGTGGAGAGGTGTTCTCTCCATATACAGGTGGAGAAAACAACTTCTTGGGCTAGAGAGGGAAATTTATGGGCATTTGCTGGTGGTTCCCAGCAGCTCACATGAAGTTACCTCCAGCAGACAGTATGTTATGCAGCTCCTGCATTAGCAGGCAGATACTGCGTGAAGATATGAGCACTGCTTAGGGTACCACCCACGAGTGGTGCAGGGTTTCCTGCAAGACACAGCAAGGATTTTTCTCTTTTTTTTTTCTTTTTTTTTGGGGGGGGGAAGGGTATTCACAACAGAAGAATGATGAAGAAGCTGGAACATGGCAAGTGTAATTGGAAAAGTATGTGCCTAAATGAGAAGTGTAATTTCTAGAGCAACGGAGCCTTTACAGCCTTCCTGAGCAGCAGAGGGAACGGTACATGCTCTGTGTCTTGAAAGCCAGACTAGACTGCAGGTGCTTAAATATAGATTTAGGTGCTTGGCTGTGAGCAGATAATAGAGGGATAATTCTACTCAAGGCTTAAAATCACTCTAGTAATAAAACACAGGCTAAAGTACTGTGATCTAATTTTAACACTGCTAAATCAAAACTAGCTTTATAAACTAGCTTTTTATTTATCTAAGAGCCAGTGCAGATAGCTCCTTATTTTCTCTGCTGTATGTTGCATGGGTAACAAACAGGTATGTGCTTGAAAACCCACTAAAAATGAAAAGGAAAACTCAAACGTAAAAACCACTTAATTTACTGTGTTTAATAGCCCAATTATGCCACTTCAGAAGCTTCTTGCTTCTTTCCTTTTCACAGGACTGAGTCCTGATATATTAGCATAACCATTTCGCAGAAATGCCATGCCTGCTCTTTTCAAATGAAAACCCAAATCCTGTTTTTCCTGCTTTACAAAAAGCTAGATTGAAACTTAAGCCTTGGTCTCTGGTTAAGTGTGTTGTG